ACCAGTTTTCTCATCCCACGCATCTCATCACACAAGCGAAAACAGGAAACCCAACCGACAGGCGAGCAGAATTTGTGGAATAAAATACAAAAATACAACTTCAAAAATACATGTACATGTACATGCTGGTGGATTTCCCTGTTGCAAGACCAGTGACAGCAGTGTACATGTACATGATTGTGTTAACAGATAATACAAATATTACACAGCAAGGAATCAAACAAGTCTCATTCCGCTGTTACTCCGAGTTTCGTGTCAACACACTTCATCAGACAGCATATTACCAAGACTAACAAATTAGTAACAATCACTAGAATATAATTATTATTATGTAAGCAGCCTAGGGACTTTAGACAACTGTGTTAACAGATAACATAGGTCATTCTAATGCTGCTTGGGTCTTCACCGTGCTGTAACAGATCACAGTATCCACTGTATTAATGAGAGGCACCACCGTCCAAGTGAGAAAGGAGTGCACTGAAGCTGCCTTTCTAGAAGTTTCTACGTTGGCTTACATGTTGTCGGTTTGACAGCATGAAACAAGGTGGAGGACACCGTGTTCGGACACAGTGACCTTACTACAATCATCCACGGTTGGTAGAGTCCCGGTCCGTTGGGACCATCTGTTGGATTATCTAATTCAGTAATTGGCTTACATGCTCAATCTGCGGACAGCATGCTGTTTCGTTCTTTGTGAACTCCTCAGCGCAGCACAGAGAAAATGAGGCCGAGCCTGATAGCAATGAAAATAAAATGTCCAAAGCCAGATCTAAATCAGGCCCGAACGTACCTCAGTGGCGGATCCAGGGGGGGTTCCGGGGGTTCCATGGAACCCCCTAAATTTTGCAAAGTGTGGTGCTGAGAAATATGGAAAAATATCATGTGTGCACAAAAGGACGTCCGTCCGATCACATGCACAGTCAGTGCAGTCAAAGACTTGAAAGAGTACAGACTCAGTGCACTGCATGCGCGTTCGGTAGATCGATACTGCATGTATCGGTAGTCTAGTACTTTTAGTAGTCTGTACTCGTGTTCACGTCCGTGATTTACAAACGGACACTGTAGACAACATTGGGTGGTTGTTTCCTTTTTGATCTTTCGAAACGATCCAAACTTATCTCCATTGGCGCTGTCATTCACTGTTGCTCAGGATGGGTGCGGTCAGTATTCCTTGGACAATTATTTTTGCAGAAGAGAAAGGATGTTCCGAGTGATGACACTCTTCAACGAACTTCGAATCGTACACGTAGAGTTCAAGCTCCTCAGAAGATGAGGGCTCCGACACCCAAGCAAAGTCAGTAATCTCTACCTGCTGCAGCATTACATGCAGTAGTGACTAGTTGTTCCTCCGCAGGAACGGAGTGCTGCGCCAGCGATGTGTTTTAGATGACATTGGAAGGATTGTGCAATTGTCGACACTGTTTCGCTGTTGTTGTTTCTGTCACTGAAGTGAAGACGATGCTCTTGTCCTGTGACTATAGAGCACTTCGCATCGTAAAAATGCCAAAATTTTCCGAAAGTACAAATGGACAGGGAAAGTAACTTAGTTGTCATTTCGGCATTCCTGGCTCTCAACGTACCCATGTATGAACTCAAGTATTATGATTATGTGTCCGTACTAAATAATAATATACAATGTAGGGTAAGCAGCAGCATTTGGCCCTGTAGCTGTACAGGCTTTCCATCGTCCACCACACCACAACTGCCTGTCCCTGCGGGAATTTGCGGAAAAAACTCTCGAAAACTTGCGCAAGAAATTGCGGCAGAAAACAACAAAAAATGCGACGAAAAGTGCGGAATGATGCAGAACTTACCAGGATTCGCGGAATTATTTACAGAAAATTGCAGATTTGGGCCAAATCACGAAATTTGTTGCATCGTATATCTACTTGGGAGTAGTGCGAGTCGTAGACCATGGTAGATTCTACTGTGCAAATAACCTACAGGATCATGGAAAGCACTGCGTGAAAAGTGCATAAAAAGTGAGATAATTATAGTGCAGAAAAAACAAAAAATGCGGGAAATCGCGGATTTTCCTGAAAATCGCGGGTTTGGGCGAAAATCGCGAAATTTGTTGCATCCGTGGAATCGCGATTTCCTGGAGGGACAGAACTGCGCGCTCCAGCGATGGTGGTGTGCTGTGGCAACGTTACGTGTCGAGGCCGGCTGGAGGGCGCAGTTATGGTGTGGTCGATGATGGAAAAATATATGTCCGTAGTGCGTTTTAAAAGCATGCGATTCCCACTAACACAATCGGATTGTCGTAATTACATGACTATGTCAACCGCACAACTTCAAAACAATCTGATTCCATAATATTTTGGCTGTTCAATTTTGGTTCAAACGGAACCCCCCTGTAGAGATCTCTGGATCCGCCCCTGTACCTTGCCAGAGTGCTCAAACTGACAAGTCAGTGAGCTCTGGCTTACATAGTGTATAGTATTCCAGGACACCAGGGCCACGTACATGTATAGCACACGTGACAATGCTAACACTGTACAGCTGTACATGTATTACACTGCGAACACTGTACAGCTATGCACGTATCCTGGTGTACTGTTAGCTCGTATTGAGATGGGGGTGAGCTGATAAAGCTACAGGGCCATGAGTACAGGCTGAAGATACCATGATAATTAGGCTGAGCACTGAGTTCGTGTAGCTGGTGTGCCATATCGACAACGCGCCGGATACTAAACGACTTCCTCGCAGAACAAGACCAACAACGGCCCTGGATTGCCGCGCGATAATTGCTGCATACACATGTATTTATCTTGATTATCCAACACGCCTCAAACCCACCCTGGGGCGAGACCCCTGGCATACAACGTTAGATCTACATCCCCCGATTGGTTCTACGCTGGCAGCAAGAGCCGAGTCTTTGCCGACGTTCGTTGAACGATGCCTTGTGCTCTTCCTGATGGCTGGTGAATGGAATTGACCACAACATGCCCTGCCTACACGAATGTCAGCAATTTAGTCTTCTCACGATCATGCCCACACTGAAAGAGCACTTGCCACTAAAAACACTCCGTAATTGCTTAGACCACACAAACGAACCGTGTCCAGCTGAGGAACTTAATAACGCAAGAAAATAGTTCAAACCTGAAACACGCCATCCGTAGAGATGGCGAAGAGCCGGCACTCGTGAAGCTGGTTCACAGGAACGTTTGCTAAAGTGGCGTGAACGATGTGACGCTGCGGGGCAGCATTTTCATTGCCCAGAATCGCATCCTGGTGCAAGCGACAACAATGACGCCGGTATAGTGCACGAAGCTTGTTCTAATGCAACAGCCGGGCCACGTATAGCTAGCTTCCCAGGCGTCCAGACAGAGCGGTGAAGACTCGCACAATCCCATCAAGCCAAAATAAGATACTGTACTTGTAGTAGATAAACAAGAACCACAGCACTGAATTTACTAGTTTACACAGAAGTGCGTTGGTGACACCCGCGGGACCAATCATTTCCTTCTCGCCGCGAGCATGCACCGTCCGTATGGTGATTCCACACGCTATACTAATCTCGTCGAGCAGAAAAGACAACAATGGCTGTAGGCGTCGGGTTAAAGTGGCCATGCATTAATGACGTAATGCTCTGGGCAGTCCCTAGGCCTAGGGCCTAGGCTGCAAAAAGAGCCAGTGGCAGACCTCACAGCTACAACCAACAGTGGAAACGCCATAGCCTCAGGAGAACCTTTGTTGGAAAGAGCAAAGCGCCATTTTGCCAACGCAAACCGTAAAACATCGGCACCACCTGCCATTACGCCGGGGGCAAGAGTATCATACAGAGGCAGCATAGAGTTGGGGCAGCAAAGGTTGTGGCTACACCAAGCCCCCCCCCCCCCCCGAAAGTTCACTCGCAAACCTTTGTTTCTTCTTCCCTTAGTCACATCATGCTTAGGGCACGCTGTCAACAAGATGCAGAGCCCGTGGAGTGTGCCTTGTTTAACTACACGTACTTCTAATTGCCGTGAGTGGCTATCACCCTTCATTTCACATGCATTTGTCATTGGCAGTTGCTTGACGAGCCAGGAATAAATGCAAATTAAAATCAATAAAACTAACAAAAAACGGTCTCTTCACTGCGATTCAAATTAAGATCAATATTACACCAAACTATCGGGCCTGGCCCACCATCGACACCAAATTTTCAGGCCCGAAAATTTGGTGTTATGTTAATCTTAATTTTGATTTATTTGAATCGCAGTGAAGAGACCGTTTTTGGAGTTGAGAAGTGAAGTTTGCTAAATGTGTTAAGTGGCTGCGTTGGAGTTTGAGGACAATTAGAAAAAAACTAATCAACCACCTACATTATTCCCATGCCAGCGTGCAGCCGTAAATTCATCCACATTGGACACCCCTGCAGCATTGCAACGCTACACGCGGATCCAGTGACAATCACAAACTCCGATTAGACAACACCAGGCCTGGGAAGAATCTGCTGCGCCCTTTCTTGGGCCGTTCCCTATCCGCACGAGACCAGTGCACGAGAAAGTGGCTGGAGAAGTCTGCCACCAACAATACAATAGCAGACCATAACCACTACAAGTACAATAATCGGGTGGAGAGCCAAGGATTAATTTATAAGAAGAAAAGAGGACCAAAGAGCTACAATATCCAATGACACCACCAGTTACTTTACAATCGGCTCATGGCATACTGTAAGAGCAGAAATGTTCGGTGGTGTTTTATTTTCGGTAACTTCGGTGCCGACAGGTTTTACCGAAAATAAAACGCACCGAAAATGTCGGTACAACCAGCACACTTACATGTACCTGGAGAACGGGTTTTACCGAAAATTTCCCTCTACCGAACCGCCGATTTTGGAGAATACCGAAAATATTACACCACCGAATATGTCTGCTTTACAGTAACATTCGAAGCACTATAGTTTGTGTATAATGCTCTGGCCGGAATACAGTCATCACCATGTACCACGGAGTCGTAAAAATACCACTCCCTGACACGCACACTACATCAAGTTCTGCATATTGCCCATTTACTGATACTATGATTACTATGTCATACAAAATTCCATAAAGTTCATCAAAAATGCATGCAAATGAAAAGCAATAATGGTTTTAGATGGAAAGGAAACATTCTGAGGAAACGTTCGATCGTAACGGATAGAATTACAACTCGTTTGAACCAAATTGGACAGAAACCTCTCCTGCAGCGCGTGTTGTTTACGTGTATATGTAGACTAGATTCATGCACAAATCTCGAACAGCACGCCAGCCACCCATTCCCAGGGTGCTTACAAATTAAATGCACAGATACATACATTCATGTACATGTATAACTACACTGTAATCTACATGTACATGTACAAGGTATCTGCGTTCTGCATATCGGTGTGTGTGTGTGTGTGTGTGTGTGTGTGTGTGTGTGTGTGTGTGTGTGTGTGTGTGTGTGTGTGTGTGTGTGTGTGTGTGTGTGTGTGTGTGTGTGTGTGTGTGTGTGTGTGTGTGTGTGTGTGTGTGTGTGTGTGTGTGTGCATGTGCGTAGGTGTGTGTTGTTGTTTATTTTACTTCGCAGATTCTAACGGGCAAGTTGCCCAATAACAAGAAAGCGTGTGTGTGTGCGTGTGCGTATGTGTGTGTACGTGTATCTAGCAATTGCTGTGATCATTCTATGACATCGTCATCAGATCATCATCAGCATTCGTCATGAGTTGGGACTTGGGACACTCAGGACATCATCAAAGCACCACGGACTTCCATATATTTAACTAGAGGTGACGGGCGATTCTGGGGCTTCCTCGACGACAGGATCCACATACTCGGTGGCTTCGTCCAGGTCGAAATCGGACGGTTTGATTTCTAGGTCTCCGGTGTCCAGGACATCAGGCGTCTTCTTCCTGAGCGTGCGTCTCGAGAACGTCCTATGCATGTGCCGCCTCTCCTTCTCGTCCTCGCTGATGTCCATCTTCTCGACTTCTTCCGTTCCCTGCATGACTTGGTCGCCACCGTCCGCAGCCGTGGCGCCCTCGTCATCATCATCATCCCCGCCTGCTGCTGCTGCTGCTGCTGCTGCTGCTGCAGGCTCGGCAGCAGGAGCTGCGGCGTCGTCCGACTGGCTAGCGGCACGTATCTGCTGTCGTTTTTCCTTACGCTGCTGCGCTGACCATGCTAGGAAGACGTTCTGGAAGGCCTTGGCCACGACGCGCACCATGGACTGCGCCTTGGTGGGCGTGTCGCAGGCCAGCACGTGACACGTGGTGCGCGTGCCGTCGCGCGAGCGCTCCATGAACGTGAACGTCTTGGTGAAGAGGTTGTGACTGCCGCAGAATGCAATGCGGTACAGAGGAATACGCACCACGCTCTTCTCGTCGTTGGGGTCCAGCACCGTCAGGCGCTGATCGCTGACGACGACCACGAGACGCTTGAACGGGGGCTTCTTGTCCTGGTAGACTTTGACGACGGATTTCTCGCACATCTGCGAGTACTTGGGCTCCTCGCCCGTCTCACTGTCCGCGACGGGGAACGTCTCGTATCCTATGTAGTCGACGTGATACGACAGGCCCACCTTGAATGGGTCGTCAGCTTGTGCCAGCTCCATCTTGTACTTGCCTTTGCTGATGCCCATGAGGCGCTTCATGGCCGCCGGGCTGTGCTTGATCGCCTCGCCCGTTTTGCGAAGCAGACGCACCGCCATCCTGCTGTCGGACTCCGAGTCTAGGTGCGTATGCGTGTGTGTGTGTGTGTCTGCAGGCGCGCTGGTCTTTAATTCAATCTAGAGCGAGCTATTCAAGCGTGCTGGCCAACAAGATAACGCTAACTAACTACCGGCAGAGAACTCGAGAGAGAGACAGAGACAGAGAGACGCTTGCGCGCACTATCCAGGATTCGCTAGCACACCTCTCAAAGTGATTAGATGCAACGCCTCAATCCACCGTAGTGACCGCCACACAAGCACGGACTGCGCGCACACTCAGTTACAAAAAAAGTGGAACTTCTGAAAACACGACAACGGAGAAGAAAATATCTACTCGACTCGCTTCAGCGATTCAAACTTTTCAGCACGCGAAAACCAACAGGTGTTTTTCTACTAGTACTTGTGACTACGCTCGCGCTCTGAGTCCGAAAATACGTGCATGCACACGTACACTGTGCTGCTACCCCCTTCGCCTCTTTCTCGCTTTTCTGCAGCTGTCAACTCTGGGCGCCCGGGCGCAGAGCTTGCTCGAGATCTTTTTTTGCATTACTGTGTTTGGATATTTTGGTGAGATGGACATGTGTTGGCGTGAGTCGCCGGTCAGTTTACGCGTAGTCGGCCTCCCAGTCAAGCCATTGAATGCACTGCCAAGCAGGGACTGACGTCTGAGGCAGTGCTACTCGCGCAGACTACAATGTCATGTAATGTAACTGCGCACTGTGGCCAGTGTTGGAAGTGTTGCCATGGCGTGAATGTCTGGTTTTCTGAACGGCATCGGTGCAGTGCACTGATACTAGACAATAGCCTCCGGCTACACTGTCGCGACAGGACGATGTCTGGTGACTCGGAGTCGTTTTGGCTACATCATACAAGTACAATGTACAATGATGTACATATTAGATACTGCATGTAGTATGCTGTCAACCAGCAATATAATATTAAAAACATCATTATTATTTTTATGTTGGTGATTGACAGCATAATAATTATCTAATACCAATGATGTGCATGTACCGCGTTACATAGGGACCGGCGGATTCTGCTCGAAGAGCAGTGAAATTGGCAGAACAATACAAACCTTATGGCGGGCAATTCCTCGAATTCTGCTCCGTTTCTTTATCCACATACCAAACATGCATGAAACTTACCAGAACAAGTACCGAATTCTGCCAATTTTTCTGCCGGCAGAATCCGCTGGACCCTAGCCGCGTACCAGTACCTGACTACATAGTAATTAGTACATGTAGTACTAGTAGTAGCTGGCCTCACGGTTTGCCACAGGAACAGGTGCTCCGCTACGCTCGTCGGGGCTAGATGCACTTACCCGCAGACGGCTCCACCTGCTGAGCTAGCTAGCTGTAGCATTACATCAAGAGTACATAAAAAATGTTATGTACTCTTGATTACATGTACTATACTAGACAGTGGAGTGTGAGCCTGGCTTCATTCACATACAATTTAAGTACAATGTATAAATTATGTTCATGTACCAAGTAGTCATGGTAGTTGAGCACTCTCATGTGGGGTAGTGCCTTTGCTGTTTGCATTACGCAGAGCTCACTGACTTGTCAGTTTGAGCACTCTGGCAAGGTACGTTTGGGCCTGATTTAAATCTGGCTTTGGAAATTTTATTTTCATTGCTATCAGGTTCGGCCTCATTTTCTCTGTGCTGCGCTGAGGAGTTCACAAAGAACGAAACAGCATGCTGCCCGCAGATTGAGTGTGCGCATTAATTATTGCATCATTTCGCAGCCCAGTGTTCGCAGGTCTAGGGCTGTGCAACGCCGGGCGTGTACTTGAGTGACGCGACTGGATTGCGGCTAGCTGTTGGTGACGTCACGACCATGTGTACTACTCAGCATGTGCGGCAGTAAACAGTTCGACAAACGGGTTACGTGTGCAACTGCTACTGACTGTATAACACGTTACTGTTATGGTATTATAATTATAACCTAACACTGGTTAAAAAAAAACCGGTATTAGATAAACCTTCATGCTGTCCATCTAACAATTTACTAGTGTTTAAACCGAACACGGATTCTTCGAACGAATAATCTATTGAATAATTTCGCCCTCCATCGAACGAATAATCTATATTCTATCATACACATGATGGCATTTTTCAACCTTTTTTCAGCACTTTTTAAGTAAGAAAGGGTTTGCTCCCCACACCGGAGCTCGCGCTATTCCGCCGACTTTACTTGACACTTGACTGACTCACGACTGCCATCCAGAGCACACGAGAAGTCCATCGAACCTTCGACTCGGCAAACCTGCAAGAAAGCACCACTCCCTGCTCAATACACAGTGTTTCGGGGAATTCACCCCTCATCAGTTGAGCTTGAGTAGGCTGAGGAAGATTGTGCCTGAAGAGCACCACTTATATAGTGCTCTCCAGGCACAAACATCACCAGGGATACAAATTTACAGAGACGCTCCATTTCCAGCGCGACAAACACCTCGTGAACACCAGATAGCAGCGTGAGTCAGTGTCGCTCCTGGACGGTGAGACAGACGTCGAGGACCCTCGGTCATTCGCAACGCTGTCACCTCCAAACCAACTAGTCGCAAGCCCGCGCTGGGCATAACAGTACGAAGTAGTGGTTGCGACTTCGGCGATGATTTGTAAGAAAGGGTTTGCTCCCCACACCGGAGCTCGCGCTATTCCGCCGACTTTACTTGACACTTGACTGACTCACGACTGCCATCCAGAGCACACGAGAAGTCCATCGAACCTTCGACTCGGCAAACCTGCAAGAAAGCACCACTCCCTGCTCAATACACAGTGTTTCGGGGAATTCACCCCTCATCAGTTGAGCTTGAGTAGGCTGAGGAAGATTGTGCCTGAAGAGCACCACTTATATAGTGCTCTCCAGGCACAAACATCACCAGGGATACAAATTTACAGAGACGCTCCATTTCCAGCGCGACAAACACCTCGTGAACACCAGATAGCAGCGTGAGTCAGTGTCGCTCCTGGACGGTGAGACAGACGTCGAGGACCCTCGGTCATTCGCAACGCTGTCACCTCCAAACCAACTAGTCGCAAGCCCGCGCTGGGCATAACAGTACGAAGTAGTGGTTGCGACTTCGGCGATGATTTGTAAGAAAGGGTTTGCTCCCCACACCGGAGCTCGCGCTATTCCGCCGACTTTACTTGACACTTGACTGACTCACGACTGCCATCCAGAGCACACGAGAAGTCCATCGAACCTTCGACTCGGCAAACCTGCAAGAAAGCACCACTCCCTGCTCAATACACAGTGTTCCTCAGCCTACTCAATCTCAACTGATGAGGGGTGAATTCCCCGAAACACTGTGTATTGAGCAGGGAGTGGTGCTTTCTTGCAGGTTTGCCGAGTCGAAGGTTCGATGGACTTCTCGTGTGCTCTGGATGGCAGTCGTGAGTCAGTCAAGTGTCAAGTGAAGTCGGCGGAATAGCGCGAGCTCCGGTGTGGGGAGCAAACCCTTTCTTACAAATCATCGCCGAAGTCGCAACCACTACTTCGTACTTTTTAAGTAGTTAAAAAAAAAAAATTCCTGATTATCAGATTTTGTTATGTGGAGGTGCAAAACCGGTTAACCTGTGCCGCCAAGAGTACATAACCCCCCAGAGTGTGCAACGCCTGATACAGCTCTGCATAGGGTCTTGGTCGAAAGTGGTCAAAGACCGAAAATCACATTCACTGCATCCATGTTTCCCTCGTATGGAAAGAACAGAAGTATTACTAGATACCGATAGGAGATTAAAACTTGGAGAAGAGTTTGAGAAGAAATACTACGAGCAAATCTACGCAGTGCAAATATCAGTAGGTACCCGGAAGAAATACTACGAGCAGATCTACGCAGTGCAAATATCAGTAGGTACTAGGTACCCGGGTCAGCACTGAGCATAGATCGTTTTTTGTTTTTTGTTTTTTTTCGATTTCTGATAATTCCTACGACTATTCGATTATTCGTTCACCCCACGAATATTCTAAATTATTCGATTATTCGATTATTCGTTTCAACACTACAATTTACGTTACTATAAATACAGTCGTCCCTCTCTAATCCGGCACTTGTTTATCCAGCACCCTTGTAAACCAGCACACTTTCTGGCAAAACGGATTTTTTCAGTTCATTTTCTACGCTTCCAGTACTTGAATTCCGCCTCCAGCAGCGATTTTCTGCAACAAATCACTCAAACTGTACATAATTCGATTTTCAAATCCAGCAGTTGTACATCGCAGACTGTCAGGGACCATTGTAACATACACAACACATGTAACATACACTTGGGAATATCCTATGCTAGTGCATAAGATATACCCAAGGCCAAGTCACTGGTATGTTGTAGACATGCATTCCACAAAGTACTTGGTTTGACACAGAAAATCCCTACGTTTTGACGTACGACACAAGCATGTGGGCCGGGTTGGAGGGCAGGATTTGATAATCCAGCACCCTTGTTTATCCAGCAGAAAATGCCGTTGCAAAAGGTGCCGCCGGATTAGAGAGGCTCGAGGGACGACTGTAATAATAATAATGTAGAAATAATAAGTGGGACTCGGCTGGAAGCCGAGTTTTCCGCATCCGCCGTGGGAACGCCACCACCCTCTAGGATCAAAGGCGCAGATGCAGCGCCTTACGGTGGGAGGTGAGTAGATCAGACCCACAACCAACTGTGACCATGGTGACCAAGTGGTCAAAGACCGAAATGCCATTAGCTGCATGATACTGCATCCATGTACTAGTATAACTGTTCCTATTATTACTTACAGTCATTACTATAAGTATAACTACATTGTATGGGCAGCGAGGCGCTATTTTATATTCATGAACTATTAAATTTTTGTTTTCTTCGGCCAGCAGCACTGACCTGTGACCATGGTGACGTGACAATGCAGCAGCACTGCATCATACTGATTCATACTAGTACATGCATGCCTAGCGCCTGCCCATGTGTATGCATGTATAGTGCATGCAGCGTTTTCTCCAATAATAATAATTATTATTACGAAAGAAAATACGAAAGGAAAAAATTAATTATATCGAACGCTACAGCGTTTTGTGGTGCCAGTGGTGGTGAGGAAATAATTATTGCTGTAGAGTAAGTAATTAGTTGTAGTGCGTAGACTCCGGTCCTGGTCCGTGACGGACGATGGCGTCTCTAGATGACTCATGCAACACGGCAGAAGCATCATGCACAGGGCAAAACAGTGCCCGGTTAGGCGATTCCACCGAGCCGGGTAGGGTTAGCCACGCCGCACGCTCAGGAGACGAGAGAAATATCCCAGAACCAGTGCAGCGGCTGAGAGATTCGCTCATAGAGCAATTCATACGTGCTACTGTGGATTTGGACGAGGGCATGGTGGATGAATGCGTTGCAGAACCCA